TGAAGTCATCAATTTGCCAAAACAAATAACTTTGGAATCTGTCTACTATTTTGCACTTCCTATTATGTAACCTAACGTGATTCTTTACAAGCAAATTTAAGTCAGGCTACATAAAACCCTAATTATATAGCCAAAGCATCCCAATTAATATGGAAAGAAATCAAGTCATTTGGAATTCTTTTCTGAACAAAAAGAGCTCCAATGGTATACATTATTATGTATTAACACCTTAATCCTTACAACCGTTGAAAATTACATCTTGATCATAAAAAGAAGTTTAACTATCCCATCTGCCACACTGTCTTAAGAGTCACTAGGAAAAGGTATCGGTAAACATTGATGCATCTTTCCAAAAATTTAAAAAGGAGGGAGCGCCTGTGTAACTCAGTCCGGTTAAGCGTCTGACTCTTGATTTCAGCTCAGGTCACGATCTCACAAACTGCGAGATGCAGGCCTGCATCGGAATCTGCACAACAGTGCAGAGCCTGCTTGGGATTCTCTCTCTCTCTCTCTCTCTCTCTCTCTCTCTCTCTCTCTCTCTCTGCCTGTACCGCACTCGTGCACGTGTGCTGGCACACACCCTTGTGTGCTCTCAAAAATAAATATTTTCTAAAAAATTTAAACAAAAATTTACACATACTTATAATTTTTACTTTTCATGTAAACCAATTCAACAAAGGAAAGAACAATCTTAGGTTCCTTCTAGGGCCTGCATTTAGTTGACAAACAATAATAATCAGATTTAGTTCATATGACAATTAAGGCAACTCACCTACACAACAGTTTGTAACTCAGTATGAACAGTGCATGCTCTACATGCACAATCTTTTGTATCTGCGGAAACAACCACTATAATTCATACAAAAAAAACCCCACTTTTACTTTACTTAAAGCGATATGTCAGGGTTTATTAATAACACAGGAATGAAAACCCAAGGGTTTTATTTGTTTCATGGCTATGTAAAAATATATCTGGCTTATGAACTATACATCCCATTAGTCATTTATAGTAATACACAAATACCGCCAGGCAAATATTAAAAGACTAAAGTTTATTGTTGCCAAGTTGCTGGGGCTAAACATCAATTAAAGAAACAATTAAACCAAGGAAAACGTTTGAACTTCTGCAGTCATAGCTCAAGGATACAGAGGGCAAAACCAAGAAATGATGATATTCTGAGTCCACCCTTGAATTCTTAATATGTGACTCCAGCAGAATGAATCAAAAACTTCAGTTTAGCAAAACAGGTGTGTGACTTCATATACATCAAACCTCACAGCACTGTGAAGGAACAATCAAATCTAAAAATCTACTACAGCAGGAAACGGAAGTCTGCACTACTAAAGGGTAAAGATGAACAAATAAATTGTTGTATCATGAGAAATGATAAACAGGGAATGGAAATTCAGTGCAGTAAGGGAAACTGGTTGGCAAATGGTTCAACAGTTTTCAAACTGCTCACTGCTAAACCCCTTTACTGTTGGACTCAAATCTCTGCATCTTATCAGGACCACACTCGTAGGTACTGCTTAATAAATTAAACTCAAAACTGTCAATCTTACTGAATATACACTTCTCAGAAACTTCTTCAACTTAAAACAGAAATAGTTTAAGTAACAGCTATTCCACCATTGCTTTTATCCTGAAGGCATGAATTCTTTTCTTTTTTTTTTTTTTAATGCTTATTTATTTTTGAGAGACAGATACAGAGCGCGAGTGGGGAAGGGAAAGGGAGAGGGAGACACAGAATCCGAAGCAGGCTCCGGACTCTGAGCTGTCAACACAGAGTCCAACGTAGGGCTCAAACTCCCGAACTGTGAGATCATGACCAGAGCCAAAGTCAGAAGCTTAAACGAGTCACCCAGGTGGCCCTGAAGGCATGGATTCTTAAAACCTCTAGTTAATGAAGAACAAAACGTTAAAAGTTGGAAGGAGCCCTAGGAAGTCACTTCTAATCCAGACTCCATATTAAGCTAGGAGAATCTAATGAATCCGTTAAACAAAGATTTTTGAGAACTTTCTATATTCAAAATTCAATGGTGATTGCTGGGGATGACACAAATATATCTCAAACCTGATCCCTTCGCTCAAGGAACCTATAGGATGCCTCCAAGGAATTACAGGCTGTGAAACTAAATATTATACCATTAAGATAAAAATAAAATCCTAAGAACCACGCGGAGTCATCCAGCAAGATAAAAAAGGTTCAGGAAATGTTTAAGTGATGTTTGAGTTAAATGGGGAACAAGAGGTCAAGTCTGGACATCTGGCAATAGAAGAGAAGGACATTCCAGGCAGTGAGAAAAGAATAAACTCGGAAGCCCTACAAACATACACCTTGTTTCCAAGGACTCTTTCCTTGCACAGTCTGCTTGGGCCACACCAGTTTTCTTGGTGTTCTGGATCTTTAAATAGGCATTCCATCCTCAGGGCCTTTGCATCTGCTGCTTCCTCTGCCAGAAATGATCTTCCCTCAGATACCCACAAGGCTGGCCTTCTTAACTCCTTCAAGGCTTTGCTCAAACATCACCCTCTCAGTGAGAAGTTCCACAACTACCCTATTTTAAAGAGTCATCCTTGTGTTCCCTATCACCCCTATCACCCTTCCCTGCTTTATTTTTTCCACAGCACTTACTACCATCTGACACAGTATGTACTCTATGTATTGGCTTTGTCCGCCCCCTGCCAAAAGAGAAGTTGTTCATTTCCAGATTTTAAAACACCACCTGGACACGGTAGGCATGAAATGAATATATGCTGACAAACTGGCTAATGGAATAAACGCATAAAAAAGATTTCTGCCCTCAAACAGGTTATGATCTAGTAGAAGCAAATAATTATGTTACATCATTCTTTTCTTTTTTAATGTTTATTTTTGAGAGAGAGAGAGAGAGAGAGAGAGAGAGAGAGAGAGCACACAAGTGGGGGAGGGATAGAGACGGAGACACAGAATCCAAAGCAGGCTCCATCCAGACTCTGAGCTGCCAGCACAGAGCCTGACACGGGCTCGAATCTGCTGACCGCGAGATCATGACCTGGGCTGAAGCCACACGCTTAACTGACTGAGCTGCCCAGGTGCCCCCATGTTACATTATTCTTGAAAGACAAAAACATAGTTGGCAGAACCCAACTTCTAAAAGACTGATGCACAGAAGCAGCTCCTGGCATCCCCACTTCTACATGTCCAGAGAGCGCTAGGCTCTTCTGTGCACACCTCTTAGCTCCCTTCCCCCAGGAACACTGTCACTAATGCAATGGCCAAAAATGGCACCAGAGTTGCCACTACTGCCAGAAGTGTCTCTTCCCACATTAACCTTCACTGTTACCCCTAAGCAAAAGCAAAAAGTATTTCTGATCCATTTTTGGATCAGAGAAACCTGTATTCCTGGATTTCCAAATTAAAAACCTTTTTCTGCAGATGCTTAAATACTGCACCACATGAGTGGTTACACTGACATTACGGATTTGCAAGAAACCTAACTGTTTTGAATGATTATTAAGTGTAAGTATGAAAAAACACATCTTTGATTTCTGTTTCTCTATTGCAACGTAGCTTTTCTATGCTGCAAATGGACAGCCAACGCAATATGGTTAAGAAAAAGATGGGTAACAATGTAAAGTTAAGGGCATTTTTTTTCCCCAGTCAGAAGGATCGACTACCATTTTATTCTGGGTTAACAAACAATGTTGAGTTCGCGACTAGAGCACGAGTATTTGAATTATACTACACTAAAACCAAACAGGAAAAGGAGAAAATATTCTTTCTCGCTAGCAAAAGCAAAACCACTTAAGAAAATGAGGAATAAGCTCAAGATTTCTCACTTCGACTAACACCTCCACAGACTGCATTATCATTTTCAGCAAAGTGACATTTTCACATTTAATTTTTAACAGCAGCAATCCTTTCCATCTGGGCTTTATCTGCAGAGAAGTGTTAGCCTTGGCACAAGTTCAATCTTTAGTTGAAAGTCCATTTCTGACTATAAGCAAAGCGCCCCGATAGTTGTACCCCTACATTAATCCTTACCCTGACAGCTCAATGTTATGTTTTACCTGGGGGTGAATTTTGCCCCCAGATGGGCACATATGTCTGTAACCCTTCCTCAATCATTGATAAATTACTTATCCTTACTCCCTTAAAACCTCCTGCGTTTTCTTCAACAACATTTACACTTGTCAAAGAGTTTTCAGGAATATGACTATTCCTCCTAAATGGGAGAAAAGCTACAAACGAGGGCAAATTCCCTTCGGCCGGGAACTGCCAGACAAGCAGGCTGACATCGTAACTTTCAGGTAGAGAGAGTCAACCGTTCTCAGCGGCCAAACGTCGCCGGTTATTGCAGGACCTAATTTGCAGCCACTAGGGGAGAAGCCCGAGCGAAAGGTTAGGTCCTCACTTCTCTTCTCTTCTTTAATAAGGAGACACCTGAAAGTCACACCGGGCGGCCGTTGGCTGTATGGCAACACAAGGGAGAGACCGCACAGAGCGAGCGCCCGGCTGATCGCAGGAAGCCCAAGTTCCTGCGCGACCAGAGGATTACGGGGGGAAAACAGAAGCCTCTCTGTGCACAGGAGGAGAGAAAGAAGTCGACCAGGAAAGGCTGCGAGTCGGGGAGGTGGGGCTCGGCGCGCACAGAAGCCGCGGGCGGCAGGAAGGCCGGGGCTCAGCCGGGTGGGCTCGAGGGCACAGGTGGGCTGCGGCCGCCCCACCGCCGAGGGCCCCGCGCCGGGCAGTCCCCCGGGCCTCGCCCGCGCCGCCGGGGAGACACCCAGCCCACAGACGGGCGGAGGAGCCGCCTAGGCAGAGCCCCGTCGGAGCACGGGAGCGCGGAGGGAGGTGAGCACCTAGCTCACGCCCGGCGGGAAGCTGACAGCCCGGGAAGCGCGAGGCGGCCGGGGCGCGCGACGGGCCGAGGCGCGCCTGAGGGGGTCGCCCTGAGGGCGCTGCCAGCCGCCAACGACTCCCCCTCTCGCGGATCGGCGGCGGCGGGATACTCACGTAGGGCTGGTAGAACTTGGAGAGCCGCGGCTTCCCGTGGTTGTTGAAGATGAGGATCGCCTTGATCATGGCTGAGCCGGGCCGACCGGGTGGGCGCTGGGGGCCAGGGCGGGGGCGGGCGCGCGAGCCTCGCCTCGGGATCTCGCCGGCGATCCTTCCCCACCCGCCCCCTCCCGCACGCGCGCGCGCGCGCTCCAGAGCCGCGGGGCGGGGTCTGGGCGGGGCCGGGGCGGGGCCGGCGTGAAGGGAAGCGGAAACATCTCCAGCCCCGAGCCCGCTTGTCGGACAGGCGCTTGCGCGCTTGGCGGGGCGCGGGTAGGTGGTTCAGTGACTCCTTCCGGGGGCTGTTGCTGTGAGAAAACCGTAGTTGCGGTATTAAGAGTCAGGGCTCTGCGACAGGTTCCACATAGAGGACCAACCGGCAACTCCAACTAGCCCCGTTGGGTTGGGTCGTCCCCGCCTACTCTGGCGCCTCCGTAGCGACGCCCTCGGCGTAAAGCCCGCCCACTGCACGCGCTGAGCCACCACTTCCGCCCTCGCCTTCCACTGAGCAAGATGGCTGAGGAGCCGGAGTCTGCGCTGCAGCTCCCTCCTTCAAGTACTACTGATGGCGAAGGACCTACGGAGGTCTCCCCAGAAACAGCCACTCCGGAGCCTCCTTCTTCCGCTGCAGTCTCCCCGGGAACAGAGGAACCTGCCGGCGACACCAAGAAAAAAAGTAATTTTGAGGGCAGTTTCTTTCTAGGCAGTGGCGGGAGGCTTAGAGTGCGTCCGACTAGGTCCCTGGCGGCCAATAAAGAAGCAAAATTTAGAGGAGGGCTGGTCCCAGGCGTGGCTTTTGACCTGTCAGGAGAGAGGAAGTGTCGTTTTCGGCTTTCGAGACCTTTGAGTCGAGTCCTTCTCTAGAAAGCCATCTCTGGACGCACCTTAGCAGTGTGGTACCGGTTCTTGGCTGCCACGGTACTTACTACACTGCCTTCGACTCTTCCTTTCAGTTGTCCAGACTGCGAGGTCGTTGAAGATGGGAGCCGAGTGGGATCTCGGTGGCTCCAGGCTCTTAGTATGTATGGGACCTAATCATTTGATTAACGACTTATGGTGATAGGGATGGACGGTGATAGGGATGGTCGATAGCAAGCCTGGATTCGAATCCACGCCTTCCGGCCGGTTCGCTATTTTTTGTACCAACGGCGCGCGAATTCACTCCTTGTACCAAAAAACTAAAATTTGATCAAGCATAAAGAATGTTCAAAGAAAACCAAAGGCATAAGCATCGCCTCCCCCGCCCCCCCCCCCAGCCCATTTTGGAACCTTTATAAGCGAGTCATTTCATTGCTTGAACTCTTAACCCTTCATTGCTTGAGAATTGGTTTGTCATTGTAAAATACGGAAAATCCTAACAAAATCACTTGTCCTCGAGCACTGTATGTAGAGTTGCAGATGAAAAAGGACTTAAATCAGCAATTACGATTCGGATCGTTTGACCCTGGGCCTCAGACCGTTTTCCTCACTCCAGAATTTTAAATATGGGTATGGTATGTTTTCCACTTCCTGATCTCACAGCCTCTCAATAGAACTTCATTCAGTTGCTGTTGCTTTTGGAGAATTGACTCTCCCAGCACTGTCTCCCTTTTAAGTCAGATCTCCCTTACATTTGTGGAAAACTTGTTCTGTTATTTCCGCATGATACATTAGCAGAGAAACAGAAACCTAAGATTGTTTGTGTAGATTACTGGTAGAATATTTCTGAAGAATTGCGTGGTTTTTATGGATTCTTGCTATTTTTTTCCTTCATTTTTACTGTAAGCAGGAACAGACTTTTCAAAGGTTCTTTTGTTTTTTGGCTTTAACAACCTTAGCTAAAAGCTTACTACTTGATTCTGAAGATAGCTGAGTAAAACAGGCGAAAAAAACAATGGCTCACAACGCAGATACGGACTCGGGGTTATATGGCATGTTTTCTTTGGTCTACATAGTTGGGTGGGTGGTTTTTGTTTTGTTTTGTTTTTCTTTAAACCACCTTTGGAAGATCCTATTTTCATTTTCTGGCTCTTGGAAACATTGGAGTTTGCCTCTGTGATGTAAAACTTAGCTGCTAGCTGTTGAATTTCTACCCTGAAGTTGTCCTTTTTTTGAGGATCTCTTCTGGTGAAAGAAGCTTCAGTATTTCATATGATCCACTTTGTTTTAATCTACAGAAGAATAAAGATTCTTGAAGCTCACCAAGGTTGTTGGTCCTTAGGAACTCATCAGGATGTCCTGGGAGAGCTTTTGAACATACCAATGTCCTGCTTTCAAAAGATTCTCATTTAATTGATATTAGATACCTGTATTTTTGTAAATGTTCTCCTAGTTGATTCTAATATATAGCTAGGGTTGAGAACTCTAGGCAAATCACATTTAGAATTTTAAAAAAGAAAAAGTTAAGGTATAACTACAATAAGTAACTTTCCCTTCTCTAGCTTCTTGCCCTCCCACTCTTGTTCCTTCAGCAGTGTATGTAACTCACAATATTTTCTGCTTCACTTTACTGAAATTCCCAATTACAACTGAGTTATTGATAGTCCCCACGGAATTAGGGGAGGTGTGGAAGGTGAATCCACCAAAATCTTCTGTTACCTCCCAATTCATCCCTATTTAGGTAACTGAAGCCATAATTTATTATATGGAAAAAGGAAGATAAACTTTATCAGGAAGATAAGTTGTATGTGTTCTGTGTTCTAGGTGCCTTCATTCCAGGGGTAAGCTTGAGAAATTGATTTCAGTGACCTGGTGGAAATCTCCATCCATTTTTAATACCAAAGAATGAGACAAGAAGAATGTAATAGAAGAGAGCTAACTTTAGGGGGCAGCAGTACACTACTTTTGATTGTAGATGTCTGGGTTTTGTTTGTGTTTTGTTTTTTTGTTGTAAGCAAAGTAACTTTAGGAAAAAGGTTCATAGTCTTTGCATTATTAGCACTGTTGTATTTTGGATTATTGAAACTATTTCTCTATCTGAAATTATCTAGTACTTTAATTTTAATACTATTACTTTCTTTTATTAAGTTTATTGTGCAAAAGTTGGTGGTTACAAAAAGCACAAATCAAATCAAATGATCGTCTATAATGTCACTACTGAGAAGTAGCATTTTGGTGCATATTTCACATTTACATCACATTTACGAATATGTGTGATGGTTTTAATGAAATCAATATCCTATTATACATGCTGTTTTATATTTAGTGCATTTTGGTAAGTCATACTGTTAAATATGCTTTTATAATATGTTTCTCTAATGGCTGCTTAATCCTAAGGTTCAGTAAGTATGAGCTGATATTGCTCTGAGTAATTTACACATATTAACTCATTTAATCCTGCCAACCGTATGAGGTAGATGATGATATCGTTTTACAAATGGAGAAACTGTGGCACAGAGAGATTAAAAAGCTTATCCATGGGGCGCCTGAGTGACTCAGTAGATTGAGCGTCTGACTCTTGATCTCAGCTCAGGTAATGATCTCACAGTTTGTGGGTTCAAGCCCTGTGTCAGGCTCTGTGTTGACAGTGTGGTGCCTGCCTTGGATTCTCTCTCTCCCTCTCAGTCTCTGCCCCTTCCCTGTGTGTTCTCTCTCTCTCACCTTCTCTCTCTCAAAATAAATAAATAAATAAAAGCTTATCCAGATATATATACCTAGCAAGTAGCAGAGCCAGGATTTTGAATCCAAGGAGTTGAGAATGTGTATCCTTTACTATATTATTTAAATTTTATCAGAGAGTGTAATATCCTTTATTTAGCCAATCTCTTCTAAATATCCTTGCTACATATTTAGGTTTACCAGGTTTTTTTGTTTGTTTCTATAAAAATGAATTCTTCAGTAAAGGTGAAATCCTTCTAAATGACTCTTTTCACATCTTATATTTTCTTAGATTAGATTCCTAGAAGTTTTGCTGAGTCAAAACATATCTTAAGCACTTTGATTTGTATTACCATAATACTTTCCAGAAAAGGTATAGGTACCATTTTGTTTTCCCAACCGCAATAATGTCTACACAGCTACTGTAATTTTACTAGTTTGGTCGATGAAAAAGGCCATGACCTTATCATAAAGATTTTTTCGTATCTTTATTAACCAAATATTTACATTTATTCTCTTTGGAATTGCCCGTTATGTCCAAATACATTTTAAAGGTCAGTTTCATGGGGAAACCTTTGTGGGACTGTAGAATCACGGAAAAGAATCCACAAAAGTATGATGAAAAAGAATATCGCCTAACATTTCTACGTCTTGGACATCCCTCCAGTATCATAAATACACAAACGTGTGTAGACTAAAGATTTAAGTTTTCTGAAATCTTTTATATCACATTCTCTTTGGAAGCTCAGTATAATTGCCAGTATTTTTTTTTCTTTGACAGTTGATGTCCTCTTGAAGGCTGTGGGAGACACCCCTATAATGAAAACAAAGAAGTGGGCTGTAGAGCGAACCCGAACCATTCAAGGACTCATTGACTTCATCAAAAAATTCCTTAAGCTTGTGGCCTCTGAACAGTTGGTATGAAAGCAACAGTGATCATTTGCCTACATAAATTCACATTAGTTCCTAGGCAACCACAAATAATTGTTGTATACTGAGATGTTGGTGGAATTTCTGTACTTTATTAAATTCTCTGGGGAACCCCAAAATGAAATGAATTTTAGATTTGCTTTTACATTGTGAACCATTTTTGTACCTACTATATTGGTGATTTTTCTCAGTCACTGAATGCCCATGCAGAAAGATCTCTCATAGAACATTAGTACAGAAAAATTCTGGGTTTGTTTTTTTTTAATTTATTTTGTTATCAATGTTCCTTTCTTCCCAGTATTCTTGAGCTAAGCAATATATTTTTGCTACATATCATCGAAGAACTAAGAGAGATACCTATTTCATAATACAGTACTTTGTGGTAGCATTTGTAAGGATTAATATTTTAAATGCCACTGGTTTTTAACTTAGTATTTGACTACAGAAATTTAAATGTCTCCAGGCATCTGGTATTTTTTTGTCACATAGTAGTATATAAGATCCCTTTATCTGCATATCACAATCTTAGTATTAATACAGATAGTGTATGAGTGGATAGGTAATTGAAGAATCACTAAGTATTTTTAAAATACAAATTAAGAGTTTGTATGTATTAGTGTTGGGGAGGGATAGAGTTGC